TATTATAAAAATGTTAAATGTAATTAGGAATTTGCTTTATCTATAAAATGTAAAAAACTAGTTTTTACTGTAATTGGAACTTTCCATTTTATTTCCTGTAAAAACGTAAAATGCATTTTTTATTTCCTGTAACCTGTACCAGCTATCCCCCTTGCCCCTCCGACCTTGAAGACAATATATATCAAGATGTTTTCTTGGTTTGCGCACATCCACACACATAAAATATATCATAAAACATAGCAGTCTCATTTACAAAGCATGATAAAATCATGCATTTGATAATAGTGTCTGAGTCCAATCACATTACAACAACGTTACTATGGCAACTCGAATATCATTACTGACAGCAAGTTGCATACTGACGCAGTTTCTTGAAAAACATTATATGTATTTGCAAGAAAAAAAATACTCCTGTTATACACTATTTTTTAAAATAAGACTTTTCTTTACCAGAAATATGAAATTGAGACAGACTTTACAGATGAAAATCTAAGATTGTATTTTAAATGTGGTACAAAGATAAATCAGCATAAATATTGACATACATTTTTTCCCAAGTTTTTTCAGGGAATATTGTATTATTATTGGCAAACATAAAAAGGAGATTTTTTAGGAAGCAAGAGTCCTAACAACCATTGTAACACTAAATACAGCACTTAATTGTGAACATATAATCACTGCCAAATCATCACTATTTACAGCAGTGAAATATATTATTACAGTATTTTTCATTTTTCATGTAAACCTTTAAACTTAAATGCCATCATTTTTTGTGTAACATTCTGCATAATTTTGGTGTTTTTTTTGTTTTTTTCTGTAATTTTTAAATTTTTTGACCAATGAAGTAGTTTTGACCAACTACCTTTCATTCAATTTAAATCAATCTTCATCACACATGTACAAAATTCTCCACTAGAATTCTTCCATTTTTTGTAACAACATGAATCATGCAATCAACATCTGTACATAATTTTCATGTAAGCGACTACCACATCTCACAAAATGATCTGAAAGGTTTCTAATTGAATGCAGAATTTGGTGAAATCATAGAAAACAAAATAACCTAAAACAATTGAGGGCGCTGTTTTAACTTCCTTCAACCTACCTGTTGTAGTTGGAAATTATTACAGACATCTGGTATCATATTTTATTTATCAGCCTGTAAATAAATCTGCTTGATATCATAAATTTACTATATTGAGTTCTTCTTCATACATGGTTTCATTAATTTGTAAAAAAGAAATGGTCAAACTAAAGATTTGGCAGCATATTTAATTTTTTTTTTTTTTTGGGGGGGGGGGGGGATCAGCTAAGAGCTAATTGAAAGCTCATACCATTTTTGTTCTATTGAAAAGTTCTTTTTTTTATAGAAGCGCATATAAACCAATAATTGCCTTTATTGTATCCTGGATCATTAAAATATGACTTAATTATGACCAATGAGACACAAATTTATCATTTAAATTATCACATATGCGCACTTCAATAAAGAAAATATGGTTGCATTGTAAACAGCCATCTGACAGTGAATATATTTTTTAGCAGAAGTTCATGAAACACTTCATAGATGATAAGAGAAACCATGGAGCATGTCTTCTCAATTTCAAGAATATTTATGGATTAGTTGCTCTAAATTCAATGGTGAAATTAAAAAGTGTTAAAAAATAAAGCATGGCTGTGTGGATATACATGGATAAATGCGAAACACCAAATTATAAACATGATTTTAACTGTGATTCGGTAGTATTTGCATCATTCATTCTACCTACATGCAAACTGCCATACTTCAATTTGGTAGAGAGTGCAGGCTGCCTAGTTGATGTAATACATATTTG